CCTGTGTATATGTGTATGTGTGAGTCATCACCACTGAGTTTGAAGAATGAAATATCACAACATATAATTTAGCAATTTATTTTCCAGTGAATATTTCTAGTATATTTCAAAAAAGGTTTGCTGTAGTAGTCTGTTTTTTCAAATGTAAAATCATGTGTTCTTTTAAAAGAAGTAAGGGACTGGAGTTGTAGTCAGTGGTAGAGTGCTTGCCCAGCATGAGTGAGGCACCACCAAAAAAGAAAGTATTTTTCTTAGAATTTGGCTTGTGTGAGGAACTTCTCCCATTAGTGAGTGCGCGAATGTGGATGATACTGAAGGYGTTCTGGGCAGTGTGACTCACTCCTCCTAACTTACAAGGCAGACTGATGAGTCTCAAAGGAACATCTGCCCATTGGAACAAAGATGATGTGTAGCTCTACTTAAAATTACCCAACCCTGCAGCTGGCTTGCTTAAATCATTGGCTGGGAATACATTTTGTGTTTTGGGATGTATGATATGTCATGTTACATTTGGTCCCCCTCCCATGTTAATTTTGCCGTGTTTCTTTTCACCCTAGAATTTCTTTTTCTCAAGGAGGGGGATGGCAGGGTAAGAAGTAGTAGTCTATAGAACAGTGGTCCCTGTAAAGATACGTCCATGCCCTCATCCCTGGACTGTGTGAATGTGACCCTATTTGGATAGAGGGTCTTTGCCAGTGTAATTAAGTGGAGTATTTTGAGATGAAAAGGTGATACTGTGTGATCTGGGTGGGCCCTAAATCAAGTGTCCTCCTAAGAGACCGAAGARAAGACAGACACAGAGAGGAGGAGGTGCTGTAAAGATGGAGAGAGAGCAGAGACCATGCAGCCACTGGCCAAGGAGTGCCCAGCAGTGCCCACTGCCCCAGAAGCAGGGAAAGGCAGGCGGGGTTTCTCCCGGGGACTGTGGCTGAGGAGGTCCATTCTGGCTGACTCCTGGATTTATTGCTCCTGGCCTTGGGACGTGTGAGGGCTTATATTCCTGCTGTTTTAAGCCACCCAGTTTGTGGTGGTTTGTTATAGCAACCCAGGAAACTAATACAGAAAGCTCTTTTCTGCAGTTGTTCAGGAATGCACAAAATTAGCATAGAGGAAAATATTGTTAGAAGCTCTGGATCTGGAGTGTGAAGACTACTTGCTGACAGAAGTACAGCATGGTTAAATCTCAGTGGACTTCACGGCTGGTCAGTTCCCGTGAGGGTCCTACATTTTTATGTGAAGCATGAAGAAATGAGAGTTTCTTTCTTCCTGACACCAGCTGATGCCCCACCACCCCCCCGAGTGTCCTGTCGTGCAGTTAGGTTCTGATGCTGACTGCCCAGGGTTCATGGCGGACTCCAGGGCCAAAGCACTGTCCACTAGACTGCAGAAGTATGGGGCCTCCTGTTACCCACACTTTGTCAGCGTGGCTGCCAGTTTGGGAGTTCCACGCCCCCCTCTTCAGGTTTGGTACTTTGCCAGAGTGGATTACAGAACTCAGGAAGGTGTTCTACACATTCTGTCACAAAGGACACAAATAAACAGGTCACGGGGCGAGGCCTGGAAGTGTCTGAGCACAGGCCCTTTGTTCCCTCCTGGCCCGTGGAGGTGCTCACCAACGGGGCAGCTCCCTGAAGCGGGGCCTTTTTTGGAGGTTTTTCTGGAGGCTTCCTCACACAGTCACGATCGATGAAGTCATCGGCCATCGGGATTAGCTTCTCTCCAGCCCCCTCTCCTCCCTATGGATTGGGAGTGGGGCTCAAAGTTCCACCTTCTCATCAAGCCTTGGTCTTTCTGGGGTCCAGCTGCCATCCTGAGGCTCTCTAGGGACTTGGCAAGAGTCACCCTTGTCAACCTTTATCAGGTAGGAAACTCCCAGGGTTTGGGGAGCTCTTCTGTGGCGTTCCAATATCAGATTAAGTTTTTTGAATGCTGGAGCAAATTGAGTTTGCTACGTATTTTGAAGTAACTGAGACTTTTTTGACTTTGAGGCTCATGGATAAAATAATAAAGTCTTTTAAAGTGTATAAAGGGTAATAAACATGATCATAATGAAATGAAGTGATATTGTGAGCAACCAATGATGTTTAAGTTTTAAAGAAATAGGTAATTTCAGAAGGAAATGTTATTCCTTAGACATCCAATGTATTTACAGTTCTTTTCTTTTGGGGGTGCTAGGGCTCAAACCCAGGGCTCCAAGCATGCTAGGCAAGCGCTSTACTCTGAGTTATGCCCCCAGCCCTGCAATTAGGTTTTGGTCCTGGAGCTGCGTGTTATACTTTTCTGAAAGCAAACTTTCTCCCTCTTAATTTGTTTTAAAAGAAGACACTTAAAATTATGATTATCTTTATACAGTTTTAGAATCTGGTAATTAAATCTTTTTGACTTAAAAAAARTTCTGATTCTTTATGTGTCTTGGTATTTTATTTTTCTACAAGAAAAATTGTTACCATCCTTGCATCTCTATTTCTTCTAAGATCCATGATGTTAACCCTGCAAGCCTCTGCTTAAACAGTAAAGAGCTAGTTTGGTGGGAAATGAAGTGGTATTAACAGGGATGAACAATCCATCCCAGGGTCCAGAAAGTAGATGCACCACTGTAAATATTTGCTTAATCAATRATAAATCACATAAATTGCAAATACACTTTAAACCACATGGGATTTTGTCATTGTATGAATAGTTCTGGTCAAAGTATTTTTGCATAAATTATCTCAAGTAGAAGTCTTGATCTCATTATTTATATAATTAAGTGAAATGTGATTAAAATGTTGCAGCAAAAGTAATAATTTTTCTGTTTCTAATCTTTTTTGAGTTCATGCTATTTCAGGGCAAATTGACTTAATACTTCACGTTTTATATACTTAGGTGCTCTGATAGTTTGGCAAGGGTTTCTATCTATTGAATTTTTTTTTTTAAACTCTGAGAAGTTATATGTTGGGGAGTCATAGTCTCTCTAGCCTGGTTGTAAGCTCGTCATTAACCACCATGTTACCTTGCTTCTAAGATGCAGATTTCTTCCCTTTTTGAAAATGGAGTGCCCTTTACTATCCTCTGTGTGTACTGATAGAGTGTTTCTGACTTCGCCCCAGTTTAATAACTGCTGCTGTTATTAAATAGATGCTGCCCTTTTGAGCGAGGGACATTTTAGAACAGAAAGTACAATCCCTGGACTTCGTTTTGGAGGAGACACCATGCATCTCTCTTGGGMCCGCTGGGTTTCTAAATGGTGAGCCCAGCAGGGAGAGGACCTGTGGTGTCCTTGGCGGTCAAGGTGAAGCGGATGGAGGCTCCTGATGGCTGATTAAAGCATGCTCCAACTGCCCTTCATTAACGCTCTTCTCGCTTGTTGCCGTGCTGTTCCTTCTTGGCTGCTTTTGCTGGCCTGCATGTCCCCRTCAGCCACTGAAGCAGAATGACTTAGTGACTGATAGGCAGGTCTCAGACCCTGCTCAGGTGTGTGCCTTCCAAATCCGTGCTGTCCTCACCCCACCCCTGCTGCCTCCCCAGACTGCAGTGGGGACCCGCGTGCCTGCTCCTCTCYCCCTGGATTGTGCTGGCTCTCTGCATTCAGTGCCCAGGACTCCAGGCCCACGTCCTCATCACCCACTTGCAGAATCACAAAGTTTCTGACCCCTCTGCTGCTCCCCTCCCAGATATTCTCACTCCTTTCTGTAGAAATAAAAACAAGAACAGGGTGTTATTTTCTTTCTAGACTTTTTCTGCCTGTTTGGACTCTGAAATAAAATGTTCATTTTTATGGGTTTATGGTGGCACTAATCCTTTATTTTTTTCTATCAAAACACTCTGCTGTTGGCAGGTTTTTTTTCTTTTTAATTTTACAATCTTGGTTTAAAAGATCTCGGATACCAAAGCACAAAGTTCCCAACCTCCATTCTACTGATATTGTTTCACAAAAATGTGACTCTTCCTGGAAAGACAGAAGGGTGTTCATGGCAAAGTTCAGGTTTAGCGAAAGTCTTAAAAGAATGCATTGGAGACAGTCTTGATTATCTTTATGACCAGCTATTAGTATTACAAGCCTTAAAGTCACTGAAGTATAGTTCTTGCAAGTTTGGAAGTAACTTTTCCTGCTTTCTTGTGTACTTACTATGTAGCACATCTTTATTTCTAATTTTCTGTGACTTGTGCTGAAGTATTTTAGTTTTCATTTCATAGATATGGAAATTGAAAAGTTAACTGTGATTGCTAACGATAATTTGGTGTGCTATTTTTATGTGTCGGACTTTTCTGTTTATATACATTATCTTTTAAAATCTTCACAATAACCCCGAGAATAACCTTTTTACCCACTCGAGGGAACTGAGGTTTTGAGAGTTGTAAAGGAGGCTTGATGCCACGTGGCTGGTAAGTGTTGGAATCAGGTTCTGTGTCCTACAGTTACAGGTATTGGGGGGTGAGCAGAGAGTCTGTGGTGAGTGATGGGGATGGCGTCCTAAGGAGGTGGTCTACTTTTGGCACGTGGGTGGGAAGCAGAAAGGAGAGAGTTTAGCAGCAAGCTGGAGCAGAGTTAGACAAGCACGCGACTCCTTTGGAGTGAGACAGGTGTCCTTGAGATGCCCTGACCCATGGAGTCTATCTCCTCCATTTCTTCTTGTGACTTTGCTTTCCCTTTGTGWTAACTGTACAGCGTGACTTACAAGAACGCAGTGTGCACACCAGCTTCCAAGGTGTGGCTTCAAAAAGAAAATGTTCCTCAGGGTCTGTCTGCTTCCTTACTGATAAAATGGGAGAGTGGGTTAGGTGACCTGTACATTCCTCTTTGGAACCCGCACCTTGTAACGTATGGGGATTGTTAAAAATGGGCAGAATAAATTCTAAACTTAAGAATTGAATTTTGTACTTCTCTTGCCCTTTTCCTTTTTGAAATGATTGGAAAATGTCCTTGGCTCTTCTGGAGTGTTACTAGTTAGGTATTGGGCTTCACATGTTTGGAGTCATACTGTTGTACCAACACCAACCTGTCTTTTTTCCCCYTCCAGGCCCCGCGGGAGCAGCTAAAGATGTGTAAGTACATCATATTATATCATAAGCCCTCTTTCTTCGGAAGCTGCTGTTTTTCATGATTGTGACCTTTAGCTATCTGGAGGTATGGCTGAAAAGACATGACAATACTTTCTGTGCTATCACACATTAAGATTATCACTTGGTTACAAGTGCTACTTGAAGAATGCTATTATTTGTAACTCCTGATTGTAGCCTTTTTTGTCCTGAATCTTTTTTTTTGTCAGAATCTTAAGAAAAGAGGATGTTAATTGTGTTTCCATCCCAACTTGTGCAGAGGCTTCTTTTAGTTGAAAGTAAGCAGTTATAGGAGAATTAAGCACAGAGCTCTCCTGACTCTGCAGGGTCTSAGAGTTGGGAGGACAGACTGGGGCCAGGCATGTTAGATGGCTTTAAAGTTGAAAACTAGAAATTTGAGTGAATCTATGTGACTATTTACTATTGTTTGAATAGGGGGGTCTCCTGAAAGTTTATGTGTTAGAAAACTAATCCTCAGATTCACATGTTGATGATACTGGGGGTGGGGGCTTTGGGATAATTAGGGTTAGATGAGGTCGTGAGAGTCAGGCCCCCAGGCTGGAAGAGACTYGAGCTAGCACACTTGCTCCATCTCAATGTGATGCCCTCTGGCATGTGATGATGCAGCAAGAGAGTTCTTGCCAAAAGCCAAGAAGATGCTGGCACCATGCTCTTAGCTTTCTGGCCTCCAGCACTGTGAACCTAATAAACTTTCATACTTTATAGATATAAATGCCTGGCCTCAGGTATTTTGTTATAGCYACAGATGATGGACAAACATACAATTCAACATAGTCATTATTGAGCTGATCTTTAGACCACAGGACATTAATTAGGGGGCATAGAAACCTTTTAGGATTTCCTTTATGGCCCTGCTCTATATCCTTTCACCTATAATCTAGACATGAACATCATGGGAATTTACTGTTAAAGAGTGTTTGTGGTTACTCTGTGGAGGTTGGAATCAGCCCTCCTACCCCATATTGGTGCATGTCAAGACTGATGGAGCCACACAAGATTAAGAGAGTGTGAAAGATGTAATACTCACATAATGTGGCTTTCTGGGGAGAGCAGGGTAGGTACCCAGAGTGCGCCATTGAGCTGGAGTGAAGGAGAGGTGCATGACTTTGGTTTTCATTGTGGTTGGGGAGTGGACCAGATGAGGGCTCTTATGCAGGGGCAAAGGTCTGATCTTCCTGTTGACAGGTTTCCTATTGGCTTTCACAGACAGGGTACAGAAGGAGAGCGGTGGGGCTTGAAAGCTGACAGTGGCCCAGTACTAAAATAGAGTCAGACTTTTTATTACAAAGAAGTTGGAGAAGATGAGGATAGGGTTGTAAAGTTTTCTGGGAATTAAATATTTTTATGTGACTTTAAGCATAAAAGAAGCCATAAGAGATTGCTTCAAACTCCCGGTTGCAGTGCCTGAGACTATTACCAAAACATTCAGTGACAGTAAATTCTGCACATTTACCTTATCCCTATTATTGTGGTGTTTTGGTCTCTCCTTCAATTTCTGTATGCTGTTGCCACGTTAATTTTCCTCAAGCTCTGAAATTTGTAGGGTCTCTGCTCAGAACTGTTCCATTATGTCTGTTGCCCCCTGGATTCAGCTCAGAATCCCTTGGGAGTAGGAAGGCCATTTGTTTTAGCTRTAAGCTAGCTGACTGCATGGAGTGGAAGGAGGTGGCAGTCGGGAATGAGAAAACCCAGGACTGTTTAAGGAGACCACTCTAGAGACTCATGTTTCAATCTACTTTCCCTGTTTCTTGCTGTCCCCCATTTATCCATCAGCTTCTCGTTACTGGAACTAAATACCTGAGGAAATTAACTTTATAAAGAGAAAAAAGTTTATTTAGCTTATAGTTTTGGAGATTGAAAGTTTCAACAGCTTAGAACATTTGGTGAGGGCCACCCTGTGATTATATCACTTTGTGGCATGGATGACAGTGGCAGGAAGCCCATGTTGGAGCAAAATGCTCACATCTCGAGCCAGAGCAGAGAGAAAGAGCGGATGATTGAGGTTCCACAATCCCACTGGGCATTCACCCAGTGACCTAAAACCTCCCAGTAGGCCCTGCCTCCTGATGGGTCCACCACCTCCCAACAGCGCCAGCCTAGGACTGTCTTTTAATATGCCAGCCTTTGGGGGACACTCATCCAAACTCTACCAGCCTCAAATGTTCTTTGTTCCAGTTCTGTTGGTAAATATGCTGCCTGTTCTTCAGGGCTGACGTCTTATTCTTTGCAAGAAGAATTTCCTGGAACCTTCTTGCTGGGTATAGAATCTTTCCCTTCCCACCCGCTGCAGTATGTCAGACCCTCTCTGTGATGTCTCAGGTGGGACTTGCATTGCCCTTGTCCACCTTCCTGTCCTTTCCCTCGGGACTTGGAGGGGTGGAAGGCCCTGCCGTTGTGCTGTGCTCTGGGGTTGTTCGTATCAGACTTTGAACATGGTTAACGTTTGGTAAAAAGTTATTGAAGGTTCCATCATTTCTCTTTAACAAGAGAGCGATTTTATGCATCCTCTTTCTTTTAGAGGAATGCAAGTGCCTAAAGAATTTACTGATGGTTTTGTCAACAGGATTAACTGCTTCAGGATGTGAGATGTCACCTCACTACTTTAAAATTCTGAAATCTTCAGATTTAAATTTTCTGTAATTACACTTCATCTAATGCCCTATAACTAAAAGTTGTTTTTATTAAATCAATGATTCTTTAAAAAATAAATGCGATAGATATAATTGGAAAAGCTTAAAGAATACTATAGTATTACTTTTCTGTACACAGAAGGTATATTCAAACTCAGATTTTTCTAAAAAGAAGCTTTAGATTTACAAATCTTAACCAGAGCATTATTTGGTGATGCCATGAATGAATCAGGAGCTAAGAAATTAAGACAATTTGACATTTTTATTRTGAAAAATTTAAATTTTTATTTAAAAAAATCCAAACATGCTGATTTGAAATCCAAAGAAGTGACCCCAATAGTATAATAGATGCTGCAAGAGTGGGGAACTCAAATTGGCCCACTACCACGTTGTACGAACCACACGAAAGTCTTTTGGGAGAATTGTAGTTATTTTTTGAAGCCAGCAATAYTATAATTACTCCCTTAGTCTATATTAAAACATCAGTTTTTGAGAGGAGGTCTGCAGTTTCTTCTCTCCCTTTTCCTRTTCATTTGCCTGCTTTCTGTAGGCATGAAGCCAGTATCCAATAACAAGTCAAACGATTCTGCTGCRTTTTAGTAGGTCACTGTCTACTGGGACCAAAATATAGTGTGATAGGGCTGATTAGGAAAACAGTCAGAGTGAATGTCGGTGTGGGTCTTGACGGATGAGCCGGGCTTACAGGGGGAGGGGAGGGCGAGCAAGGAGCGTGCAGAAGGACCCGGGTGTGTGAGTAGAATGTCTCCTGGGCACAGTTGCCCGGCTGGCTCCCCCAGAGCCTGTAACAGGCTTGGCAGAGGTGGGAGCCAAGGCTGGTGGGCTGGGACTAGCTGGTGAAGTGCCTCTGGTGCCAAGTCAGTAATGGAACTTGATTTTGTRTGCTTTCAGGGGTCATTAGAGATTTTAAGGTGTTTTTGAATGATGGAGTTTGGGTTTAGGGCAGTAACTCCCAGAGGAGGSATAGTGACATGGGGAAGGCGTGTGGACATAGGAGACTGGGAGGTGAGGCTGTGGGAGGCGAGTGAACACATGGCTGCTACTAAAGGAGAAGAGGTGGTCCATTCAGGACACATGGGGGGACGGATGTGGTAAGGTTCATTGAATCAACGAGGAAGGAGAGGAAGGAAGCCTCTGAGGCTGACACTGCAGTTCAGACTTAAGCCAAGGGAATGGAGGCTGTTAACCCAGAAAGGCCAATGGCTGAAGGAGGAAGAGAAGTGTTGGGGTGCAAGGYAGCCACCTTGGTCTCCTGGGGGACGGTGGTTTTAACTGAGTGGAGTGAATAGCAACTCAGTCACATGGATGTGAGGGAGGAAGTGGGGAGAGTGATGCCTGGTGTTTCACTGTATGAAGTTGCCAGTAAGGGGTGGGAAAGATGGCGGGAGCAAGAGGAGATAACAGTTTAAAAACGTGTATGTATTACAAAAGGAACACCAGGAAATACAGAAAAATATTTAAAACAATTTTATTTATTTATTTTTTACGTGGTGTTGAGTGCGAACCCAGGGCCTCGCACGTGCTAGGTGAGCACTCCACCACCACTGGGCCACAAACCCAGGCCCCCAGAACAATATTTTTTTGAAATCAGCTGTCATCCTGCCATCAGAGACAGTCATCATTAACATTTCTTTAAATTCGTTTGTTATTTTTTCTGCCTGATTGTTGTGTATGGATGATTTTTCACATTGAAGTCCAGTCTTTCTTTTTCTGTTTATTGTTTTAAGTGGAGGAGACTTGGGTGTACCTGTGGGTTAGAGAGAAGGAACCCAGGGAGTAAGAAAAGCTGAGGGCAGGTTGGGGAGGGAGAGAACACTTGGTAGAGGTTGATGTTGAAATAGGCTTGAGAGGAGAAAACAGAGATGGCGTGTCGGAGGCTTAACTCCTTTGCCTCTCTCCCTGTGTCTTTAAACCATGGTGCAGCAGCAACATGATGACATTTGGCTGCTTTACAATCCTGCAAAAATCAGCCATGCTTTTATTTTATTTCAGTGAATTATCTGAGCTATTTGGCACCAGTAGGTTATGTTGGGATATTTTTGGGAAATGGCAGAGGCCCAGCTTGGTCTAAACAAACAAACAAAAAGGAATTTATTGGCATGTGTAGTGGAAAAGCTCCAGGGGTCTGGCTTTAGTCACAGCTGGATCCAGGTGGTCAAAGGATAGGAAGAAACTCTTTCATCTCTGCTTGCCTGCTTTGGGCTTCACCCTTAGGAGCTTTCCCCAAGTGGTGGCTGACCTGGCCAGCTTGTCTCTTGTCAGCCTGGTGGTTTCTGTGGAGAGCAGTTTCCCCTGAAGTCCTAGAGCAACTCTCTG